GGGAGGTCAGTGTTGGCCCATTTCTCATCAGGAAGACTTTGGTCTCACTATGTGGATCCCTGCAGTACCTCCATTCTGGGGTTGCAGCCTTCTTTACTCGACTGTGGTGGATACATGTGGGGATTCTTTCCACTCAGACTGCTGTGAGAGTAGTGGGCTGTTAAGGATCCCTTCCACCTCAGCTTGAGACTCTCCTGATTCAAGTCCTTTATCCACACTGGATCCCCAGGAGACAAGTGGATTAGGGGTTGTTATGGTTTGTGTGTAATTGTCCCCCCAAAGGCTCCTGCAGTCATGTGATTCATTATTGTGGGTGTGGATGCTGCACCTGCCCTGGGGCAGGTAATCTGCATTACAATATAAGGTGGGAAGAGAAGCTAGCTGCTTGAGCTGCTGCTACTTCTCCTTTTGCACTCTCTTTGCTGCCTCCATGAAAGGTTGCTTTCTGTTTGTGTGGCTCTGCCTTGGAGCCAGCTGAATATGGACTGAAACCTCCAGTAACTGTGAGCTAAATAAATCTTTTCTTCCTTCAACTTGAGCGTGGGGTATCTGTCCTAGCAACAAGAGAAGTGTAAATAAGACAGGGGCTTTGATAGGCTAATGGGGGTTCTGGCACAGATATCCAAGTAGTTCTTCTAAACCTCTCTTACATCCTTCCATGGGACCTGTGGCCCAAGAGAAGGTCATCATTAACATACTACAAAAAGAATACATCCCAGGTTCTGTACTGGAAGTGAGTGGAGATCTTGGGGCACTACTTCTCCCAAAATGGTCAAGGAGGTTTTGAAACCCTGTGGTGATCTAGTCTAAGTGAGCTGGCCATGTTGTCCTATGTTGGTTGATCCCCATTGGAAAGCAAAAAGGGGCTGGCTTTCTGGGGCCAATCAAATCATTCTACTGAGACTGGCAACTATTTTAAGGAAGTATAGAGGTTCGATATAGTGAAATGTGGGGTTCCTGTGGTCTTATTGCTCAGAGGTCCTGGATGAGGCAGTAGTCCCCAGTGTTTCCCTTCTTGACTGGGAGGAAAGACATGTTCAAGGGTGACAGGTAAGGAACAAGGATCCCATAGTTTTGCAGGCTCTCAAGGTGTGGTTGGATTTCCACACTGGACCTTTAGTGGTATTTGATATTGTCACTGGGTGATTGGCTTAGTCTTAAATTCCACTTTGGGAGCTGATCAATGGCTAGGCCAGCGGGATTGTCCTCCACCCATACTTGGGGCCACTGCCTAAACAAGTCCTCTCCTTGGGGACTATCTGAGTTTGCCAGTCATGGAGTCTCTATTCTTCTTCAGTGACAAGATCAGTCATGGTGACAGCAGCTCATTTCAGCAGCAGTACATTTCTTTGTCTCTGAAGTCAAATTTTGCTGTTAATTTAGCCAACAAATTCTTCCCTGAGAAAGGAACTGGGCAATCCAGCATGTATAGGAACCAATACATCACCTTATGACCTGCTATCTTACAAATGTGCGGATGACAAAAGGCTTGAGTTTTAGACTGCCCTGAGGCTCTGCTGATATTAACAGAATCACAGCTGAGGGGCCAGGAGATGTCACAAATGAATGGTCTGCTCCCCATCAGGAATTTAATTGGCTTGTCTCCCATCTTCATGTAGACCATGGGTGAGGGTAAGGTGGGGGGGTCCTTCTCAGTTCTCCAAGAGAGAATTTCCTCCTATTGTGAAAGCAGAACTGCCTGCCTCCTGGTTCTCAGATCACTCAGTCATCTTTTTCTTTAACTTGGGATACTTGTGCTTGTAAATGCCCTTTTCTTTACAATAAGCATACCAGTCCTTTTCTAGGGTGGATGTGGCTTTCTGTAGCAGTTATCTTCCTGTTTGCACCTTGAGTTCCATTGGTCTGTCTGCCGAGCCGGTTATGAAGTCAGCCTTTGTCTTTATCTGTCTTTTGACCTCTCTACACTTCTCTGCATCTTGGATGACAAACACCTTGGTGACCCCCAGCAGTTGGACTGTGTTCATACCAGAGTAGCCCTCTAGCTTTTGGAGTTTTCGGTGAATGTTCCCAGCACTCTACCTCACAAAGGCCATGTAGGCCATCCTCCAGTTCTTGGGGGCCTCCAGGTCAATGGGCATGTGGGTGCAGTACACCTCACATAGTTGCTCCAGGAATTTGATTGCACTCTCATCTCATTTTGTGGAGGACCTGTCTTACCTTGTCAAAGTTGGTCACTTTTTAGCCCCCACATTACAATCCTTGTAGTAGGGCAGTTTGGTAGTTGACCTGTCGAGTCATCTGGTCTGTGATGTTTAGATGCCACTTTTGGTCCTCCACAGGGAGCTGCTATCTAGCATAGGGATTTAGATCAAGGTGCCTGCTGGGGCATTCTCCTCCAACCAGTTGGTGACAGCAGCCAGGACACACTGAAGCTCCTCTGTGCTGACAAGTGATCAGAAGCTTGTAATAATCGGAGCAAGTGGGGGGTATGGCTCTGGAATATGGACTTGAGCAAGTGAAGGTTTGTTTTCTTGGTGTATGAAGGAATAAGATGTTTCTGGTTCAATATGTCAGTGTTGGTAGAGGGTTACTAAACAAAGGTCAGGCACCCAGGAGACATAAAGCTTAGACCTATTAGTAGGGGGAGGTGCAGTCAAGTCTCATTTGACTCTGGGGAAGCACGGGAACTTGGTGATGGAAACTTAGTGCCAAAACACATTCTTTACTTGATGTGAAGTGGGGTGGGAGCATATGATGGCTAATGGAAACTATTTTTAGTTTGTTTGGGGTATTTTTAATACCCGGAATCAAACTCATGACCTTGTGTTTGCCAGGCAGGTGCTTAAGCCACTGAGCTATTTCCCTGGTCCCACAGGATGGTTTTGGGGCCACTGGAGGGGAGACTTTCTAGCTTGTGTTGGGGTGGCCTCAGGGCTGGATGCTGGGGATGATGAAGGGCTCTGGTCTCTGGCCAGAATTCTGTGGGCAAAGGACATGGCTGATCTGACATGGGGTGTTCTGAGTTACCTAAGAAGATGGGACATGTCTTGGAAGGGATCTATTTGAGCAGGCTGCAGTAGCAACCAGAACTTGGGAAAGGGGTTCCCTCAACCAAGGAGGCGACAAATAACTAGCTGCAACCGCGAAGCCACATAGGAAGACTGATCTGGATGTCTGGGATTCCCTGTCGAAACTTGCCAAAGCCCTTTCCAATGAGCCCTGGGTAGTCCACCCAATCTGTAAGGATAGCCACTCTACTCCATAGAGCGTTTGGAGTTTCCCAGGAGAGTTTGCTGATAGTCTCCATTAAATCCTTTTTTTGAAATTTTTGACCATGACATCTAGGTGGATGGACTTGCCCTGACTCCCTCCCATGGTTCCCACTTACCACAAAAGCAAACAACAGGGACAGATACCAAGCAGTGGTTGCCTCTCTCTGGAAGAACTATCTGGCCCCTCAGTGTTGGCAGGCCAGTGAGACTGGCTATCACTCCAGTGTGTCCTAAGCCATACAAGGTGACCCCAGAACAAAGGTTTGAGAATCCACTCGCTTCAGCCCTATTCACCCAAACTGCACCTCACATTCCAATAAGCCCCCTACCCACCAACAGCAGCCTAACAGGTCCAGTTTCACAAGCACCTCAGCAGTTATTTGGGAAAACTGAGAATAACCAGTCCTGGCTGAAGATCCTTCCTTGGATCTTCCTCTAAATTGTGGCCCTCAAACCTTACCGTGATTCAGAAGTCTGCCAAATGCCTTTGGTCCTCTCTGTGTAAGCTCTCCTGGGACAGTATAGCCAGTTGGGGATCTTGGCAGGGCCACACAGGGAGACCTCCCAGGTGACAGGGAATGGTCTGTCTGCGGGCTCAGCAGGGGACCCCAAGAGTCCCATCGGATTGCCAATGAAGTAGGGAAAAAGGTGGATTCCCATACAGAGCACTTGCAACACGGAGTAGGAGCAAACAGCAACCTTACTGCTGGTGACCAGCAGGGAACTCGCGCCCCATTGTGAACTCCCAACAGGCCTGTGTTTTCTCTTCCACACTGTTGGTGGGCAGCAGAAGCAGAACCGGGTAAGGAACGCGGGGACTTCTGGCAGGATTTTCCAGGGGGTTACACCCTCTTGCAGCAAGCTCACGTGGGTTGCTACGGAAGGGGAATACCGAGGGAAGGAGGTCCTGGTTTTCCTTATTATTATTATCGTTCGTTTGAGACAAGGTCTCGCTGTATAATTGAGACTGGCCTTGAAATCGTAAAGTAGCTCATGTTGGCATCCAACTCGCGGAAATCTTTTTACCTCAGTCTCCCAAGTGCTGGGCTTCACGGTCATGTGTTACCTCAGCCGGCTCAAAAAAATAAAATAAAATAAAAATGCTGGGACGACACTCAGAGCAAAGGCCCTGGGTTCAGCTGTCAGTACCGGGGGTGAGGGTGGAGGTGGGGTTCGGTGCCCCAAATAGTGGAAAATAGAATCACAAGTAGTCGAGCCCTGCCCGGGGAATTAAGTTAACTGAGCAATCTTTTAACCTCAAACTAAAACCCCAAAAAGGTCTGGGGACGAACCTTAGTACAAGGCCCTAGGTGCAACCCTCCAGTACTAAAATAAAATAAGAGACCCTGACCTCAGAGAGCTCCTTTTCCATTAACTTGAGAGCGCCTTCGGAGGGTGTAGCAGAGAAGCGCAGGTAGGCACGTAGCCCTAGCTGAGGAAACGCTCCTCCTCCATGGGGATGGTCGACCGAGCTGGCGCGCAGCTTCCGGAGGGACGCGTCTGAAGCGGTAAGGGAAGGGGACACCCGCCTAGCCAGACCCGTCAGACGAATCATCCCTGGCGATTAATGGGGTGACACGTCGCAGCCAGGTCGCCCTCGCAACTTCCTCTCCGGTATAGTATTTTAAACCGCGCGGCCCCAACCTCTCTCACTGGGAAAACCCGCAGCCCAGAATCCCCCGGGGTGCGTAAAGGCCGTGGCCCCGCCCCGACGCCGCGCGAGACCTTCTGGGACTTGTAGTGCGTGCCTTTGCTTGCACGCTGCGGGCGGCCCGCGCGTTTCTGCAGCTTACCGACAGACTTTTCCCGGCAAGGTGCTATGCCTCAGGGAGAGGGTAAGAACCCTTGGACGTGAGAACCATGCTTGTTTCGGCCCTTGCTGGGCACCAGGGATAAGCTTGACTTCGGAGCCATAGAAACCCACCAAGTCTGGGATCCTGCGGAGAACTTAGCGGACGCTGGAGAGAGGTACTTGCTGGCAAGTCAGGGCTGGGGAGTGGCGGCGGTTTTTCTGTACCCTCTCGGCATGTTTGGGATCTAGGCTTCGGCTGAGAAATGGAGAGATATCTTTTGAATACTGGATTCTCTGAAGCCCAGAGGACTGGAGTAGAGCTGTTCTCGTTCGGTACTGGGATCATAAACTCGCATTCATCCGTTCTCCGCTCATAGTAGCTGTCATCTGGAAACCATGCATTCGCGTGCCTTGCACCATGCCTGTTCATGGTTCTTATGTAGATCTCACAGTCCTACGGCCTCCTATAGATAAGTGACTTCCCGGAGGTCGCTTTTCTTGGGCACAGCGGCAGACACCTCTTTATTTTGTAATCTTCATTTTTGTTTGTGGATGGAGACTATTTTGCCATCTGCAGGAGTTTATATGTAGGCGTGTGACCCAGGTCAGCTTGGGACAGGAGGTACTGATTACCACAAAATAGGGAGTACAGTTACATGGGGGATTTTTTTGTTTTGTTTTGTTTTGTTTTGTTTTGTTTTGTTTTGATAAACACCTTGTCACAGGCACTGAGAGGGGTCTGAAGTGATATAATAAGAATTAAGTGGAGAGAAATGTATTGTAGTCATCTATTTTAGTATTACAGTGTGTTATGGTTTGTGTATAGTTGTTCCCCCAAAGCTTCATGCAGTCTTGGGGCGGCTTCTGGAGTTTGTGATTGATTATTGTGGGTGTGGATGCTGCATTTGTACTGGGGCAAGTAATTTGCATTACAATGTAAGGTGGGAAGAGAAGTTAGTTGCTTGAGCTGCTGCTACTACTCCCTTGGGCTCTTTGCCACCACCATGAAAGGTTGCCCTCTGCTATGTGCTGCTCTGCCTTGGACCCAACTGAATATGGACTGAACCCTCCAGTAACTGTGAGCTAAATAAACCTTTCCTTCCTTCAGTTTGGGTGTCGGGTATTTGTCCCAGCAACGAGAGAAGAGTAACTAAGATACAGTGCTTAAAAAACTTTTGATTTTACTGTATTTTTTTGGTTGAATTGTGTTGTAGGAGAGGTTTATTTTTTTTTTTTGTTTCTAGTGCTGAGGACTGAACCCAGATCCTCCAGCTTACTAAGGCGAGTGTTCTACCACTGAGCCAAATCCCCAGCCCCCTTAAAACCTTTTTCTTCTAAAACATTT